AAATATCTATTAATCTGAAAATTTCCAAGTTTTTTGGTGAAAATTCATTCCTTTTTTTCTATTTGCAATGACCCTAATATGCCGTCTTAAAACTATGACTGAGTTATTATAATATAATGTGATAGACATATACATTTATTCAATATTCTAATAAATTAACTGAAGTTTTTTGTATGAAATGCAACAGAAAAAATTGAAGAAAAAAATCTTGTTTTTGAAAACTTGGCATGACATGTAATGTGTTACTGAAAGAAAATGAAGGTCTTTAATCAAGTGAACTTGACCTTAGTTAAATATAGTTTATTTATTTTCAATGTGTGACGAGTCTGAGTTGTTATTTATACATTAAATAATATGAAATATGGATTCTTAGATAATTCCCAAAAACAGAAATAAATAAATGGCTTGATAAAATGATGTACAGAATATTGCATTCAGAACTTTCCCAGCTTATTTGGTTATACTGTAACATAAGTAAATATTTATCATTTTAAACAGTATTTATGTAATTTATCCATTTCATTTCTAATTTTATTGTTGGTTTCTTTTTTATATCATTTTTTCATACAGTGTTTTTTTTAATTGTTGCATTTTTTTCTATATTTTGAATTTATTTTATATTTTTTATGTGCTGTCACATTTTTCAATCATACATTAAATTGTTTCTTTCAAGCCATTTATTTGTTTACTGTCAATTATGTCAGTCTTTTGAAAAAGTATTTGTTGTTTTTCAGATTTCTTCTACCACCAGACTTGACCAGAGCTTCAAACTAATTTTGATATTAAAGATTTTTTCACTAAAGTCAGAAATTGTGGTTTAATAAATTATAAAGGATATCCATAAAACTGGATAATTTTTTGCCCTTAAACATAATTCATATCAAATCAAATTCAAGAATATTCTAAGCTTATTTAAATCAACATTTTGTTAAAACTGATTTTAAAAAGTACTTAGAAGTAAAATAATCTCCCAGTTGAACTATTACTTTTTTTGTTTGTTTTAATCCCTTTTAAGGAAATATTGCCTTAGAACAGTCCCCTAGTCTTGTGAAGAAGTTACTTGTAAGTTAGTTTTGTATTATTTTTAAGTGAACTAAGATATTTGCACCAGAAACTAGACAAAAATACTTGGAAAGATTTTGTGTTTTTGCGGTGTAATTCTCTAGAGCAGCAACTTTTAAATGCATACCTGCTCTAAGATATCTGAATAAAATGACTGAATTCTCTCATTAAAAGTCACTCCTACAATGGCGTCTTAGGGCCATAGATAGAAGAAAAAGGAGTACAACCAAAAAAAATTTCTAGAAAAAACTGAGTTTCAAAAGTCAAAAATGTTTGACTCTTGAAAGTTGTCTGGTTGGTTAGAATGATAGAGTAGGATATAAAACTCTTATTCTGACATCCCCCTTTTCCCTCTGCATCCATGAAGCCTCCTTTTCAACTCCTCTGGTATTTGAGGTCAAAGTTCAGGTATTATTTGAGCTTTTGTGATGCTAATCAGCTGCTCCCCGTTGTAAAAACAATACCTTGTTTCCATGGTTACTCATCATAAGAACTCTCTGAAAGTAAGAGCTGCACAGCATCCAGAACCAGAGGGAATAATTGTCCAAACAGGTGAAAAAATTAACAAAAACAAATGAGAACTAACAAAGCTGCTCTATTGTGTTGAATGATAGTCTGCATGAAAGTTTTTTTTTTACTGCTTTTCTTTTATCAGACATGCTTAACTCGCTTTAACAGTTTTCTTTAAATCTGGAAGATTTATCTTAAAGTATTAATGTGATTTTAATAAGCTATTTAACCGTATTTAAATTGTGTGTATGCGTAATTTCCCTCTGTCCAGCATTCACGTTCATATTTTACTCCGGTAGGGGGCGGTAAAAGCACTAGCTGGTATACTAACAGCCAACATTCCAAGACAAGAAGAAGAACCTGCTAGCCGTTGGAGTTGAAGTCGTTGCGGAAAGACATGCGGGAGTTAGATTAACGTGCGTGTTAGTGGCGGTTAAACAACTTTATCTTGTAAAATTTTTATTCCTGTCCCTTCGCTACAACCACCGGCTTCCGATAGAGACTGCCGGAGTTGGTTTTTCTCGAAGCGGAGTTACGAAAATCAACAGAGGAAGGTAAGGCCAGCTAACGCGTGCTGCCGCCTGCCATTGTTTATGAGCCGGGCCTGGACTATTTCCTGGATTTAACCGTTTATTAATAATCCCGGAACTCACGTATTTAAACACTTCTGTATTGTTCAGTCGTGTTTTCATTTAAAGTTGTTTAAACAGACCTTATTTCTATTAGGCATAAAACACGGAGATTATAGGCAGGAAAATAGAGACACTAGCACACATTTACAATTTACATTCCGCACCTCACTTTCTGTTGTATCAGTATTACAGTATGTAAATCTATCTAGAATGGTGTAAGAGATTGTTTTTCGAAAACTGTGGAGATCTTTATGAAGCCTAGTTTAATAATAATAAATACACAAATGCCGTTTGAGAGCCACCAGTCCAATAAGTCTGGTGGTTACGAACCACTTAGCTCAGTCCGTGTCTTTCTTTAGCATAAACTATGTTAAAAAAAAAATATATATATATATATACGTGTGTGTGTATCTATATTTTTTGGGGTTAAAAAAGGGCAGGTTTAAGGGTTTTAAACCTGCCATCATGGCGGCAGACACAGAGGGCTGGTTTCAGTACTTTCGGGTTTCGGTTTGTGTCATTACATGAAGAATCCACACCACTAAACGGTCGTAAGGTAAATAGTTTGCGGTTGGTTAACGGAATCCCGTTTGGGTTTTAGCGGCAGGCTAAATCCCGTTTCCATGGAGACGGTCTGTTTACCTCCCGCGCGCTCCTCGACGGGAGGAAAATGCAGCGGCCCAAAAAAATGTAGAAAAAAGCTAAATAATGTGGTCAAAACCCTCTGAAAACTTAAAATCTCAAGTGTCATGAAATAACTAGGATATTCTCAGTTGAAAAATCATAATTTTGTGAGGAATCTTTGTTTTTACTTTTACAGTTTTCATGATTATTGGAATAAATTTACAATAGTAAATATTGTAAAGATAGTAAGATATTTTCTGAAATTATAAAGTAAAAAAAATGCTACAAAAAAGTTCTCTAAGTTTGAGGTGACAAATTTATAAAACGCAGATAATGTCAGCCCAAATTCTAATTTGAAATAGTAAATGTATGCCTATAATGGTGGAAAATTATAAAATTTTCCCGCACAATTTTACAGTGTCTAGGAAATATGTGACAGTTTTCGCCACAAATGTACTCTGTGGCCAATTTTTTAATTTTTTATCTGCAATGCTCCTAATACTTTGCAAATTCATCACATTTTTGAACCCAGCTGCTGAGGAGCGATGTCGTACTACTCGTCGTCCCGGAGCTCGTCCCGGGCCACGGACTGTAAAGTTTACGTCGGTGACCTTGGTAACGGCGCTGCCAAAGGGGAGCTGGAGCGGGCCTTCAGTTACTACGGGCCCCTGAGGACCGTGTGGGTGGCCAGGAACCCGCCTGGCTTCGCCTTCGTGGAGTTCGAGGATCCCCGAGACGCAGAGGACGCGGTCAAAGGCATGGACGGGAAGTAGGTCTCGTCCTCCATTAAACAGGTTTTTAGTAGAACAGGTTAGGATTTCTGCTCTCTGAACTCACGGCGGCCCTTCATTCCCAGGATCCTTTGTGGCTCCCGTGTTCGTGTGGAGATGTCCACTGGCATGTCCAGGAAGGGCCGCGGGCGCCCCAGCCGCCGCCAGTTTGACCCCAACGACCGCTGCTACCAGTGCGGGGACCGGGGCCACTACGCCTACGACTGCTACCGCTACAGCAAGAGAGGCCGGCGCAGCAGCAGGTGGGGGTGGGGCCGTGCTAGCCGCTTAGCGCCTGTCAGCTCATTAGAGCAGCGCTGACCTGGCAGTCTTTCTGTTCCAGGTCCCGGTCCAGATCCCGATCCCGCTCACGGTCCAGATCCCGCGGACGGCGCTACCGTTCTCACTCCCGCAGCCGTAGCCGCAGCTACAGCCGGTAGGTCGCCATGGAAATGGGCAGGCCACCAGGAATGCTAACCAAAAAAAAAATCTGCACAGTTTGGTTCAGCTAGGAGTCGGCTCTGTGATGCTGAATCACGCCGGTCCGACCGGTGCTAACCGTTTCTTCCGTCTGTTTACCAGGAGCCGCCGCAGATCGCCGTCATACTCCAGACGCAGAAGCAGGTGAGACCACAGCGGCCTGACCGCAGACACGCTGCAACCCGCTGCAACCCAGCCAGCCGGTTCTGGCTGCATCCAGGAAGTTCTCGCTGCTCTAATGAAAACATTCTCTGCTTCTGCATCATCAGGTCTGGCTCCCCGGCCCGGTCCAAGTCCAGGACTCCAGTGAGAAGGTATGCAGTGGATGGGGCTGGGGTCAAGGGTCAGGGTCCAGCCTGACCTCTGACCCCGCCCTGGTCCTTCAGAACATTGTTGCTGTTCAGTCCCAGTTCTCCTCTCACCGACTGAAAATGTTTTGAGTTTTTACTATGAATCATTTTTATTTCTCCTCATTTTGTTTGTTTTTTTATTCTGTTTCCTTGTGAAAACTGATTTCCACTCTGGTTTCCAGTAAAAACATTTTTATTGCAGCTGGTTTTAAGGTGACGTCGTGGTTTAGTAAATATGCTGGGAATGTGAGATTACTTGATCCGTGTTTTTTTCCCCTCGTGTTTACAGTAATGCCTTCCTGCTGATTAAATCATAATTAATGTCTTCCTTGCGGAAAATGACTGACTTCCTTCCAAACTGGTTCCAGTTCTTGGTACGGTTGGATCCTCTACTGCATGAGTTAAACTCTGAAACTCTGGAGCTTTATAGACTACAGTTGTGTTTTTAATATTATTTCATCAGTCAAATCAGTTGTTTAGTTTCTTACACGAAGGTGAGAATATATTTATTATCGACTGCGGCAGCAATGTTTTAATATTTTAATGGTTTGTTAATCAGTAGTTTTATTTTTCTGACACTACCGGCCCTTTAAGACATTGTTGACCTCGATGTGGCCCAAGTGGAAGAGTTTGCTCTGCTAACGGACTGGGCGAGGCGTTTCCAGCAGCTCTGAGTTGGAAACCCATACTGGTTTTTCTCCAGCACTGGACTGGTTTGGTGCAGTAAAACTGATCCGGTCCTGGGAATGTTCCCGGGTTGCAGAGCATCAGGATGAGTCCGACGTGATAAATGTGATTTCTTCATGTTTAGTTTTTGTTTTTGTCTCCCCAGCCGCTCCAGGTCCCGCTCTCGGTCCGGCTCTGCCCCCAGGGGGCGCTCTGCATCTCGCTCCCGCTCTCGATCGCCGTCAGCCAACCACAAGCGGGCCAGGTAAATCCTCAGTGTGTGTGTGTGTGTGTGGCAGCACAGGGCAGTGGGAGGGGTGTTATGAGTGTAGAGGGCAGGTGTTCAGGTCAGAGTCAGCCATCTTAGCCAGGGCGCCGACGGCCAGACGGAGGATCCGAAGACTCCACAGCTTCCTCACCGCTGGTCCAGGGAAAGTTCAGCGGAAGGAAGACCTGGGCTCTTGTGCTCTCTGTTCCGGATCGGCTCTGATCGGGAACAGGGAGCACAGGAAGACGACGAGCCGCCATGACACCGGCTCTCCTGGAGCCACTCTTAGCTAACACAGACAGACATTAGCAAAGCTAGCAGACAGAAGGTACTTAGCTGAGTTTGGCTAGCCGAGGGCAGCTTTGCTAGGTGAGATCAGCTAAATGAGCACCAGTGGTGTGAGTTGGGGTGAACATCTTTGCAGAACGTTTTGTTTATTTTTCATATTTTCTTTAAAGCGTGTGGTGGGAGCTGAGCACTGCACAGACACCGCCGCTGATCCCAGGCCCAAGGTCTGCCAGCTGGCGGTGTGCACAGCCTGCGGGAGGGTGACTTAAGCGCTGACCTGAGATCAGCCTCCGCCTGCGTCTGACGTTAGACAGCGAGACAGAGGTCGACCTACCGACCGACCCCTCGCCCCTAGAGCCAGCCGGCCAGCCTTCAGAGCCGGGCTTTAAAAACCCGTTCCCCACCTACCAGAACCCCCCCACCTACCAGAGTTCTTCGCTTCGGTCTTAGCTTCTGAGCGTGAGACACAGAGCTGACGAGAGATCAGACTTCAAGAGCGTCTCCGAGTTGTAGTCGTCCGTCCTTCAGTCCTTTGATCCTTCGCTTCTCTGTACTTGTTGTTTCTGCCGCTGTCTCCAAAGGTAACCAACCCCCCACCCCCTGACTAAGCTCATGTTGATGGTGACAGAACATGTTGAGCCGTTAAAAAGCGAGCATGTGTGGCTGGATGTGGGAGTGAGTGAGTGGACGTGTGAATGTGTGTCAGGCTGACAGATAGGAAGGAGGGCGTTAGCCGCCCGCCGCCACAGCTTCTCATTCTGACATGAAATCTGTTAGCGCAGCTTAAAGGCGCCGCACGGTCAACCCAACTGCCCAGATCAGCTCTCTGACGCTGCGTTTACATCATCATTGTCGATATTCTGAAAATGTTGGAAAAAAGAAAACTATTTCACAGTAAATCTGCAGGATGCAACTTTTATAAAATGTTTTTTACATATTTGTTTAAACTCTCCCCATGTTGTGACAGTTTAATATGACACAGATAATCTGTGAAAACATCGGTCTCCACCCTGAGCTAACACTGCTTCCTGAAGAAATGCACCAAAAACAGCCAATCGGAGCCAGGAGGAGGGGCTTAGTGCTGTCAGTCAACCTCATGTACTCGCTGCTAAATGCGCTAATGGCAAAGAAACGATAGGAAAACCATTTATCCGCCGTCATTTGTGACTATGCTGCGACTAGCTTTAGCATTCACAACAGCTATGCTAGCTGCAGAGAGCAAGGGAGCGATGGAGCGTCACACACAGGGTAATTGACAGCGCTAAGACCCGCCTCCTGGTTTTGATTAGTTGTTTCTAGATCGTACTGTGAGGAGTCAGAGGAAATTTTTTTTCTTTTCTTTTTTCTTCCAGATTATTTGACATACCAAACTGTCATGACATGGTGACTGTTTTTATATATATATATATATATATATATATATAAAACAAATAAGTGATTTGCCGTCATTAGACCGATCACAATAACAAATATTTCTGGATGATAAATTGTTCCAAAGGTTATTGCAATAAACAATAATATTGTTGCTTTGAGACCATTTTAAAGTGATAAAATTGTAATTGCCTGGTCATAAATGTCAGTAAGGATTTGTTCTTAAAACTCACCTGGTTAAATAAAAATATAAAACATTGTCAACGATCAATAAATTTTAAATTCTAAAGAACATTCGGCCCTTTAACTGGAAGACATTTTAAATATGAAAAAGTCTTTGTAAAGAAATTGTCCTTCAGAATAAAGGCCTGTTGAGACCAAAACACCAAACTGGAAACTTTTACCGTCTAGTTTTTGATAGAAAGAGAAAAACAATAAAGTATTTAAAAGGAAATTATCAAGCTCATTTTAATTTGTAATGCGATTATTTGATTTATTGATTATTGTGACAGGCTGACTTGTTAATTGTAAATCCCATAAAAACCCGGAAACGTCGCTTCGGCGGTGAAACGGCGTAAACCCGTCTGGACAGTTGGCTCGGCCGCGCCGGCCCTTTAAGCTGACTTTAGTCCTGGTAGTTTTTGCAGTGCAGAGAAGCTGTAGGTGTGTCTCCCCGTCTGCTGACGCCGCAGGCTGACCCCGGTCCCTTTGTGTTTCAGTCGCTCCCGCTCAGCGAGTCCGGCCCGGAGCCCCACGCCTGCAGACGACTGAGCCACCAAGACTCACAGCCAGCAGCAGCAGTTTTCCTTTGGTTCTGGTATCGGTCCGTGTCGTCTCATTATTTCCAGATCTATGTTTGTTTGTTTTTTTACTGCCAGGACTGCCGTCTCCACAGCTCCACATGCCCCAGGTTGTATAAATAGGAGTAGTTTTAACTGTTGCTGCTGTGTAAGCAGTCTGTATTTTGAAAAGCGTAGCAGAGACGGGAAGCGACACCTTTAAGACGTTTGACTTTTAGCTGTAAAACTCAGATCTTCCAGCAGAAAATGGCAGGAATGGGCTGAGGAGATGGAATGAGCTGAAGTATTAAAACATCCTGAGTTTTTCTGGTGGTCTCCTCTTCACAGGGACACTTGTTGCTCTGCATGCCTTTAGAGTTAAAGTCACGTTGTTTTCCTGCTTTCCCTTCATGAAGCTGCCTGAATAATGTGATTTCCCCTGAGTTTGATTCATTGCTCTGACCTAATTTTAAAACACAAGCAAGGCTCATGTTGGGGCAGCTGTTTGCTTTTCTTTCTGTTCTCGGCTGTAGAAGTGAAAGTGTGGCCGTTTTATTTTGGATTAAACCTCTTCAACACATCCTGCTGCTGCTCTGTGTGTTTCTGTTCATATCCTGTCAGATTCAGACGTTAACGTTGTGCTAATTTAATATTTTAAACCTATTCTCAAGCTGCTGCACAACTGGGCTACCTTTACGGAAAGGCAGGGTAAATAAAAATGAGAACCACAGGCCATGTTCAAGGTTTTATCTGTGACCAACGCATGACAAAGCGATTATTAAAATAAACTAATTTAGTAACTGATTAATCATTTTAAAAAAGCAAAAAGACATAGAGTGGTAATGAAGCCAAAACAAAGCTGAGCTTTTCAGGTTAGAATAATTTTGACCTGCATCCTTTGATACAAATATCAGCTGTACACTACAGGAATGCTGTCATATCATTTTAGGTTATAAAATGTTTTATTTTAGAAAGGAATTGAATTAGTTTACATTTTTAAATGTGTTTCTAATGTATTAAATAAGTACTGTACTAGGGCTATTGTAGATGGGACAAAATTGCAAATTCTGCCAAAAATACATTTTAAGATTACATTTTTATACAAAAAAACTTGGGAAATTTAGTGTCAGAACTTTTAAATTATTCAGCTCATGAGAAACAGCAGCTCTGCTCAGTTCATCAGTTAACTGATAAAGATCTTTCTTTAAGTTGGTTTTCCAGTTAAAACCTCCAAAGTTTCATCTTAACCAGTAAGTTGCTTGAGATCTTACTGGGTAGATTATTAGTTTAATCCTGTGGGGCTCCTCAAGGCTCCACTCTGAGGGACTTTTTATTAAAGACTATTGCTGTTAGATTTCATACAGTAACACAGCGGATGATGACTTTCTATTTGTGTGTCACCAGATGACAACATTGATTTTATGCACACATTTTATGTTGAATTAATTGACTAAGTTCCTCCAGTTTAATGCAGGAAAGACAGAAGTCATGGTGTGCGATTCAGAAAATGTGATCAACGTTGGAGATAAGAGTGAAAACCTCAGTTTACTAGAAACATAGTTGTGGTTTTGGACGCAGACAGGAATTTAGGCAGCCTTGAGTTGTTGCCAGATCAGGATTGTCGGTTAATCAGAACACAAAAACAATTAGATGGTTGTACTTACATGAAGTTGGATTACAAAGATGTTTTTATTGTTCTTGGTAAAAATCAAATCAATCAAGCAAATCATCCAAAATGTGGTGTGCAGATTTCTTATCAAAACCAGGTAAAGCAATCTGACCAGATCAGACTCAGTCACTGGTTTTCTGTTTGTATTTAAAAAAAAATCTTTTATTAATTTAAATTGAGTTGAACCTGAATACATCTTAGAGTAGCTTATTATTTACATTTACTTGAGTGACGTTTTTGGGGGTTAAAAAATATATTTCTAGAAGTTTTACTACATCACACTTTTTACTCTCGCAGCTCTTACATGAGTAAAATATTTGGACACTCGTTGAAGAAGAAGCCCAGGTCTGGTCTGAGGTATGTGTGCATTATTAGAAAGCTTCACATTTTGGAAAAGTGAATCTGCTATAACTGTTTGTTGGTGTATAATTTTTCATTTTAGTTTTTGACATACCGGAGTTTGCTCCTATCTTTATATGTTTGTCTTTATGATAACATTAATTTACTTTTACTGGAGTAAAAATATGCTATAGTAATGCTACTGTTAGTTGACAAAATATTTGTTTACTCCACCCACTTCTGGAAATACCTCGTGCTGTAAATAAAACTTTAGAATCAGAATCAGCCATGTTTATGTGCATGAACAATTAATTGACTTGGCTTTTCACTTGCTCACAGTTTACAAACATTAAATTTAAACAAAGTAAAATCAAGATATTTTCTTCCGTGAGACTTCAAATGAATATGAAAAGAAAGTTTGAAAGTGACAAATGCTTCAATGACATTGTTGTATTCAAGCTTTGGGGCCAACCAACTAAAGGTTACGCCATCTCTTCTCCTATTGGTTTAAAATAAAATCGACACCCATTTGAGCCTATCACGTTTAATTACGTCACCATAATGGGCGTGGCGACGCATGCCTCGTTTTTCATGAATTTTCCGTCCATTTCAGTCGAGCATTCTTTTTAACCGGGACAACATGGCTACTGCAGCGAGCCGTTACTACAGCGAAGACGGCAGGGCAACAAAACGACAGAAAACCGACGGAATGGCCACAGTGAGTCCGCTGCGACATTTCTTTTTACTTCCAGAATATTCGGACCAAACTGTTGGAGGGCTTTTTTCCGGTACACTTTTAATTCATTCATGTGCGCGTTTGAAAGCGGTCACGACGCGTTTTCATGTCGGTGGAGCACCGCGACGGGAAACCGTTGATTCTCCGAACTCCCCGTTTTAAAAGGGGCTAGCATAGCTTTGCGTTTTCAAAATGGTGGGTTATAAAATGCAGCACAGCCCCATGTGTTTATTCCAATGCGTGTTCGTGTGGTTCACTTTGAGCGGGACCCAGGGAGGGCGGTTTCCCCACCGGGCCTCATCAGAGCCCGGCTTTGTTCCAGTACCGGGGGACGTTAGCATGGTTCTGTTCGGCTAATTGGGCCTAACGCTGTTTAATGCAGCAGTTTTCCCAGTTGAACTCAGATAAAACTGAAAATAGAGACGCAGTCTGAATAAATACTGCATACAAATGAACTGAAACGGCAGCAGTTGGTTCCCGTTTCTCTAGCGGCCACTGAAACTGAACCCGAGCAGCTCGGTTCCGCTAGACTGGGGGTCTGCAACCTCCGGCTCCGGAGCAGCAAGTGGCTCTTAAAAACGTTTTTTTTTTTTTCCTAAAGAAAAACCCAAAACAAAACCAGTTGTCTTTTGTGCAACTTCTTAATAAGTTAATGGAGTAAAACAAATAACAATCCTAAAGATAAATTAAATGTAACTCATTATTTAAGGTCCGTCAGTTGTTTTGTAGATGCTAATGGCAGGAATAATCTCCTGTAGCAGTCCGTGTTGCAGCGGTTATGTTGTAAAGCAGTTTCATGAACAGAATAGGTTTTATTTGTAAGAGATCTCAAATATCAACGAAGGCCTAGGAAAAAAAACAAGCAATTACAGTAGAACAGAAATACTTAAAGTTTGAATAAATGAGAGATTAAAAGAAATATCTTAGAAAGTGAACCAAAAAATGAATGTCTTAAGCTTCTCAGGGTTGTCCACAATGTTGCACTCCGTTATCCTCCCTTAGGCAA